TACTACTACTACTACTATTGCCACTAGTACTACTATTCGGACTACTACTACAGCAGTACTACTACTGCTGCCAATCTAAGACTAATTAAGCCAACAGTCGTCATCTTATTGTATGTCCGCGACTGCTGGCTTCTGGCTGGCGCCTGCGGGCTGCTGGCTCCCCGGCCCTCCCTGGATTAATAAGGCCATGATGTTGAATGAATTCCGAGGTCCGCTAATTCTAGCGGAGGGGGGGGGGGCGGGGCGCTTCCCACACTAATCAAGAGCACGGATTAAGGGAATCTTCAGTGTCCATCGGCCGAGCACAGAATGCTGAAGCAAGCGTCCTGGTCCCGATAGATGTCGTGGATTGCAAGGTTCGTGAGACCGTTGAGAACGCTCAGCTTGACCTTGAGGTCCTCAACTCGGTACGCGACTGCAAATCTGCACCCTCAAACGGCTTAGGAGTGTCTGTGGAACTGAGGAGGCAGCCTCCTAACTGTCGAACACTGCAAGCATAGACTGGGCCCAAGTAGTACCACCATAAAAGCGCACTCATCACGTAAAAAACGACGCAAACTGTGCCGGGCCTTCTCGCTAAGCCCGTCCGCAGGCACGCCGAGCTCCTAAAGAGCTGCAGAGATCCGTAAAGCGAGAAGATAGACTTGCGCTTGGCATGATCTCGCTCCACGCATGCAGCGACTGCAACATGAGAATCCACATCTTGGAGGGCGGCGCTTCAAGCCAGATAGAGATAAATTTGTCAGCTGAACCTTCGACAAAACCCCAGCAGCCGTACGGCAAACTCGAAACCGAAACCATGGCAGCGCAGGATCCTGCGAAGAACCAGAAATTCGACGCATCCCACGGCCAAGCACCCTTGAAAGCCTTACTCATGCGCAGAGCTGGGGACCCCGACCCTTGCATACTTGGCCACTGCTTCGAACCAGGACTGGCCCATCACATGCTCGGGAAGGGTGCTTTGAGCTCGAGGGCTCAATATGGCTCTAGGCTTCAGCACGTCGACCCTCACACTCATCACGACCAGGTAACAATACATCAACGAGCCTGGTCCTAACACGCATAATCACGGATGCGCTCAAGCCAGAGCGTCGTGTCAGCGCATATCATCCCAGACGCTGACAAAACCTCAAACATCCTTCTGTAGCTGCTGGTCCTAGCTGTCCTAGCTGCTAGCTGACCTGCATCAGGCTCCTCCAAGGCCAGGTGCGCGACAGGCAAAGAATCCAAGATTCAATCGGTAGCGCTGGCGACAGACTGTTCATGTTTGTTAGCCTGTGGTGTGCTGACACAGTATCCCTCAAAGGCCAGGGTTTGGGTTTGAAGTTTTGGCTCGAGAACGGATTTTGGAACTTGCAGCGCGCTGCCGAACATTCGAAACCAGCTAACTCTATCTTGAGTCTTGCTGCTTGGAACTGGGCATGGTCTTTCGAGTCTATTTAGGTGGCGCCTCAAATGAGACCACTCGTCCATCAGTGGGACGGCAGTACAACAAGATGGGTTGCACTTCGGGTGTGGGGCATCTTCGCCCTTCGGAACGCTTTCTTGACAGATCTTGTGAGCATTCTAGATGTCAAGTTGGCCGCAAACACAGAACACCGCGATGCTTGTTCTCCTGTAAGTGTCCAGCTTGCTCTCTCGAGCCTGCAATGCATCGAAGAAGTTGACTTCACCCAATTTCGCGAGACACGGTTGAAATCCGGCAGAATGTGCTTTGTGCAGGCACCAGGGGCGGAGTTTTCTGGTCTTCTTCTGGCTCACTCTCCCTTCTTCTGTGTCTCTCTCGCCCCGACCATACACTCTGGGAAGAGGAGCCTTGTCGAATTTGCGCAGCTGCGCTCGATCGATTTTCTCGTAAAGCCGAATCCTCAGCTTCGTGAGCTGGGGATCTGGGGATCTGGGGCTGCGGCATCCTGGAGTCCTGGAGTCATTAAATTATTTTAGCCGCTTCAAGTGCTCATCTCGATGCGCCCTCCTGATATCCGCAACTCCCGCTCATCAACCAGCAGGGCTCCGGGCTTCTCCTCTTCGAGCCAGAGGATGATCTTCATGTAAGCCTAGAGGCTTGCAAGGTTTACCGAGATGGCTCTGCGAGGGGCTCTCTGTTGGATGTGGTAAAGGTCAGGCATTCTATCTAGATTTCGCACTGGCAACTGGCCATTTCAGATTTGCGCCATGAGAGTATGGACGAAGGAAACGACTTCTGCGGCGGGATCCCACGAGAAATTTGTTGTTTTTCTTGCTGCATCGCTAGCTGCCGCCAGCTGTCCCACGTTGCCTGGTGACTTGCTCAGGAAAGGCCTGAGGTTCTGGGGCCAGTGCACGAAGGAGAACTTCGCGGAGCGGAGCTGAACAACTGTTTGGCATGGGTTCTTCTCGCATGCCTGAACTTTGTGCACGCGCGGTGACGTGAACGAAACATCTTGAAACTAACGACGCCTGTAAAGACGCGCGACGGCAAACTGGCAATGTCGTAATCAGAACCGAAGATCACCGGAGCACTACGACATCATCTTCGTGCTAAGACTAAGAGCAGCATGCACCACTGCTACGCGTGCGACAGCATGACAGATCATGACAATACAAAGAGGCATCAACCGGATCACGGATCAAAAGCATCGAGTGCTCGGCCTGGCCGCTGAGGCATGCTGCACTGAGCTCGGGATAGTTCAAAGCCTCCAAAGAGCAATGCGGAATTTCGACGCAGACAGCCCTGGGAACCGGGACACGAAGACAGGTCCACGATGTCAAAGAAATAACCAACAAACAGAGGGCACGAACAAAAATTATCGCAGCTCTATTTCGACTCCTGATCCTCAGAGGGTCATCGTGTTAGTGTTCTCGGGAGGGCACTATCTGTTGTTCTACCTGCTCCCACATCTCCGCGTAGGCCGCATGGCAGTGTTCAATCCACAAGAGCAGCAGCTTCATGCATGGTGCTGGCTTTGCCACCGCGATGCACCCAACATCTGTTTACTGGACAGCCCACTTCCATCTAAGATGGCTTCTTGTCACATCATCAGCAGGGCGCACTGTGGAGTATCTATTGAGAGATGCAGGACAGAAGAACCCAACAATCGTGAAGCATCTTCTGTGAAACCGTGCACCACCATTCCTATACATAATCATGCACGTGCGCTTTCGGTCCGCAGGGCACCAAAACACAAAACAACCCTCAGCAGTCATGCAAACTACATTCGCAAAAGTGCCGGTCTAATTCCAGGTATCTCTTTGCCTGCAGCTTTCGCTTGAGGCCACCCGGAAGATCGTCACCTCTGAGCTCTGCCCGCGAGGGATGTTTTTTTTCAGAAAAGACATGCTTCGATTGCGGTTTGCGGACTTAGGCTGCCGGGTTTGGGCTGTTCGGGACGCTGAGAACCATCGGGTCGGGTGAAGGTGTGTGTCAAGCTTAACAGCGCCACCTTTGAGATTGCCCGACCAACTGTTGCTCTCTGCAACAACGAGTTTTTCTGTGGAAATTGCAATGTGGTCCTAGTATGGTTAACGCAAGCCTGCTTTGGGCTAAGGTGAGGCGTTGCAACGATGATTGGGGCGGAGAGTTGGGGGATTCAGCAAGAATTTCGTTGTGTGAGAATGCGCTGTCGTGGCAGCCGGCGTGCAAAAAACATCGCCATCAATTGGCTTTGTGGGACTTGGGCCTGAGGCATGACGGTTTGCTTCGGGCTACCTGCCTGCGGCACGGTCCGCTGCCGGAGTCGCAGCAGCTGGTGCTCCGCCTTTGCCTGTCGGCATGCTTGTGCCAATCGCTACGTGTAACTTCCCGCTTCTGATACTGCTTGAGCTCAATATATGCAAGTTGTGGAGACTTAACAGGATGCACAAGGTTCGCTTTCTTTCGAGCTCGTGGAGACAACCATCTTGGAATCCTGGATTTTTCCGTCGCTATTTCAGTCCAAGCCAGCGCCCGCAAAGACCTCCACGATTTAGCAAGTAAAGGAAGGAGCTTCCTGCATCGTCGGAAGTAATACAAGTTGGTCAGGAACAGGGTGTCAACCACAGTGAAGCGGGTGAGCACGTGGCGGCTACATAGGAGCCGGCGTGACAATTACTTGTTCATTCCAATTTGGCTTTTAGACTTTTTCCCACCCGCCCAGCTGACAGAGTCGCACCGCGGGGAGTTTATAGATTAGGGCGCCCCCTATCGTTTTATAATGTTTGTAACTTGAAGCGTACTGGAACAATCGTTACAGTGCTTTAGAGTAGGGAGATACAGTATGGAACATGCAGCATTCCAGGGTGTGGCCTTGGGTTGCGGGTTCTTGTGAGATTCTGTGGGTTTTGGGTCTTGAGTTTCGTCTGCTTTGCATTTCGAAAGGGCGCGGCATGGTGCAGTCATGAAGACTTGGCCTCTGAGAGCATGCGAAGCTTGTTTGTGATGCGGAGAGTTGGTTTAGGCCTGGGGTTTAAGCTTCTAGGATTTCGCGAGTTTGATGATGTTTGGACTGCTTGGAGTCTGCAGTTTTGGGGCTTTCGGGCTTCTGGTCCAAGGAATAGTACTGGCACAATACATGAACGGCCACGGGCCCATCTCGGCCACTCCGGGCTACATTTGGGGTATCGTTCTGTCCAATTTAGGATCGTCGTCTCATTTCCAAGATTTCCATCCCGACAACCTCGACACCCTTTCTAACTTTTCTAACACCTAACTCCCGACACCCTCTCTTGAAAGAAACCAGGAGCCAAGGATTACAATGGCAACATTGCTGCATTGAGGGTATCGTCTTTAGGGCGTCCCCCATCGTTTTACGGGTCACCGCCAGCATTTGCCATCTTCGACAACCGCCTGCCTCTGAATCAATATACGATAATTTTGACCCCATCTCTAAAGGAGGTCATGCCAGGGTTCGTCTTCACCGTATGGTTTCGGTTCACTAGGAGTAAGGTTGACCGTGCGCTGAAGCGAGAAAATGCTGCTCTGAATTCTGTGGCAGTGCTCGTGGAAGGCCTAATTCGTGACACAACGGCACCGATTCATCTACCCCCACAGCTGGAAAGCTGAATAAACGTAATTATACAATCATACTGACCGGTGATAGCGAAGCGAGAAGGATGTCGGGCCTCCACCTTTGCCCTGATAGAATCCGCCCATCTCCTGGTGAAACACACGTCCGCTACAGTGCCCATGCACAGCCAAAGCAGGCACAGCAAAGAAGGCTCTACGAGCACTTTACAGAGCATTGCGACCTCCAGCGGAGCCCGTGTCAGTTGATCCAGTAAAGAGCAGAGCTCCAGGAAGGAACGATATCACTGAACTGGTAGGCCGAGGAACTCCCCAAAAAACAACTGCTGGCCGGCCGCTGCAGCCAAACGCGGGCTATCATGCACAATCTACCCCACGCATGCTTCCATCTCTTGATCCACAGGGCAAGTTCGAGTCAGGTGCCACATAGCGTCTGCAACAGCAAGCCCGTTGTACACATGATCTACTCTTGCGGGTTCTTGAAACCCTTTCCTGTATATGCCGGGGTTGGGGAACAACTGGAGCACATTTCCAGCTAAGCTCATGAATCGACGCCACTGCACGCCAAGAAGTTTTTGGGGGCTGTGAGCGACACGCGTGCGACCTCGAGCGCAGGGATCTTAATACGGTTGGTTGCTGGCTAAGCTATCCAGCGAGCTCTAGGGACCTGATGTAATGCGACCATGTAGGGAAGAGGATTGACAAGACTGTGTTGCGGGGCCTTGACAGATCGCAGGGCGAGATCGAGTCAATAGACCACGGAAGACATAAATCGGGAATCAAACCACCATGTTGCTGCAAGTACGATTCCAGGCCATTTAAAGCCTCCGTCAAGAGTCAACACTGATGTCCTATCTTTTTCAAGCAGAGTCTTGCGCAGGTACGAAATCGAGGTCCTTCGCAGAACGCGGCATGAACCAACATTCATGCATCTTGAGGATTAACAGAGTTGGACTGACCCGTGCTGCCTAGCAACCCCTCGCACTGCTGGGCATAGCGCTCACATGCGCTCAAAGTGTAGATTTGATGCCATGTGTTAGAAGGCCTCCAAGGGGCCGAGGGGTCGACAAAGGCAGCTCGAAATGAGCAAAACGATAGCTGCCGCTGTGTAGCTTCGAGCTAGACGCTGGCAGCTCGAGCCGCTCGATTCCGGGTTCAGGCTGGGCTTGAAGGTTGGGGGTCAGGAGATGTCAGGTGTGAAGGTGAAGGTAGGAGGGTACGGAGTGGTCCAAACACCGTGATGGGGTCAAGCATGTCTGGCCAGTTCAGATATTTATTCAGGCGACTCTCCAGACACCTATGCTAATCACATCTCTTGGCGCCGGCGGGCCGCGCCGAAAGTCAGCAGCACCTGCGAAAAGGCGAAAAGTCTGCGAGAAATCCCTGCCATGAAATTCCCTACCACAATGTCGGAATCAGCTGCAATGCAGGCCGGCCCCTGCAAAAGGGTGTCCCGCCCCCAGCCGTGGGACTGGGACCGACTTTCACGTGAACCGTGGTTCCGAAATACAAGGCTCCGCTCTTCCGGGATGGGCAAAAACTCATGTAACTCATCGAGCTAGCAGGCTGTGAGAGATCTATCGCAGAAGTGTAGGTGCCAAAATGCTTGTGGAGTCCTGTCAGAACTTATGGCTAGCCATGGGCAGACGGGAACGGATTTGGAGCTGGCAATCAAGTCTGTTGTGTGCAACCAAGGAAGTTTGCAGTTGCATTAGATCGAGGACATTCAGTGTCCACGAGCTCAGCGGCATTGTGCAACGGGTTCGTCAACATCCGAGAACCAGAGCCACAATGCCAAGCACGACATTCTTCCGGTGGGCAGAGACCGGCTGAGTTGGGGAGCAGTGGACTTGAGCGACTTCACAGTGGATTGGCAATCAGTCGTGCTGCGGTCCACTCGTTTTGCTGCGAAATGCGGCGGGGCCCGGGAAGGTATCGAACTTCGTGTCCGACGACTGTCGTGGAGATTTGTCGCTCCATGCAGTCCCATTTCCTAGATCAAAACGGGAAAACTTGAGACTGCAGCGCATTCTGCAAGAAATGACAAGGCACTAAAATCACTAAAACCAACTTCCTGCTTGCTCTGGACACGACTGCTGGCCTAGCTGAGGCTGAGCTCTGCAAAGCGCGCCGCCAGGTCTGGATCTGCACCTCAAAGAGTCTGTGGGAATATATTATAATATGTATGTGTGCGTGTTCCCTCCCCGGTTCAATCCGGCAGCGACTCTGAAACCCATGACCATCCTGTACCTGGACGCCTTCATTCGTCTGCAAAACGTGAGTGCTGTCTGAAAAGATGACACCTCAAAAGTTGCTTCCACGCCGGCTGGGCAAAGTACTTTCCTTCATCTTCCGCAGATACGTCACGGTGGAGTTTAGGTGTGCCTCTCAGTCGCGAGTCGGCGAAGATTTTGGGATGCTTTGCGAGTTTGACAAGAAGAGCCTCAGAATGTAAGAGGAGTCTCCAAAGCCACTGACTGTCACAAACTCCTCGACTTTTTGGCCTGGAAATATTTTCCAATGCGCACATAAGTTTCGCATGAAGTGAAACGTCTATATGAAGTGTTGGCTGATTCAGCTGATGCTTGAGACGATGTCGCTTACAAACAGTTGCTCCGCGACCTCGTTCGCCCAGAACGCACTTACCTCGAACGACCATTGAAGGATATTCTATGAGCAGCATGCGCGTGGTGAGGCTCACCTGCAAGCCGCATACTGTGGTCTTATCTCACCTCACTGCAAACACGGAAGGACCGGCATGGAGGGAACACCCCACCTGTAGCGCCTAATTTAACTTAACCTGAAAGCCCCTCTGATTTGCACGCGACGCCGACATGAAGTTGTAAAACCCACAGTTGAAGGCCTTGGCTTTTCTGGCCTCGGCTTCCGCTTGCGCATCCTGTTCCAGCAGGTGCAAGCGCTGAGGGTTCGAACATTTCCACGGAATTCATGGCCCCTGTTCCCCTGCATGCAGCCTGGGGTGGGATTGGCTTCGAATACGACTCTGGGCAAACTCTGTTTTCATGATGACGCTCATCGACATCGATCGATTTCAAACAGCAGCGGTCGGGTGTCCTTGAGAGCAAAGTCAATGTGCTCCACACAGATCTGCATCAAACTCTGCAGGAAGGTGATGCCTACCTGCAAGCATGCATCAGGATTGTCTTCAGCTCAAGCCGGGCATGTCACGACCATTGCTACACAGATGGTGAAACTACCACGCCCGACGAAATCTATGCCATGCCGACGGCGCCAATGGGAAGCTGTTGTGCATCCGGTACAAGCATTTTATGCAGTAGCTCCGAGATGGACCAGGTTGAACAGTGGAGTAGGCTTCTGGTGACATGCCTGGTGCTAATGGGAAGCTGTCGTGCACCAGTAAGCAGTGCACCCAAAAACGAACCGAATGGACCAGATTGAAACAATAGAGTCATTCTGGTGACATACCTTCGCCTCGCGACAGACACCATTAGAAGAACAAGCTTGGATGAGAGCCCCTAGACTTGATACATTTTTCAGAGCGGCACTCTCAAGTAGTCTTCAGCCCAAAGGCAAAGCTTGAAAGCTTGTAGTAGGCTTATAGGCAGCGACCCCTGCAATCAGACCCTGAGCACGACATGACAGGAAATGCCTCTTCACACTGCACTTCGTAGTAGTAAATATATCTGTCGAACATCTCCACCCATAGACCAACCTGGCGAGAGCTTTGTGGCTTGAGCATTCTTTGGAATGCTGACCATGAATTTCGATACAGTTGAAGGACACTGCACAGGGGGGAGAATGTCAAGTGTGCGCAGGGGTTCTGGGACCGGGATCTGCATGTGGACGGTTGACTGTGTCTAGAGAGGAGACTTCGTGGATACTACACTTACTACTTGTAGGACAAACCTATCCTCATGCCTGCGAACTGAGACTTCGAGACCTCCCCGGACTGACGAAAAAAAGACCGCCCAACTTCTTCTAAAAATGACCAGGGGGCCGCTGAAGAAGAAGAAGAAGAAGTCGCTTAAGGCTTAAGGCTTTAAGATGGCATTGATGGCACAATCCTTGAGGGTCACGGCATGGCAGGTTCGAGCTTTGCAAACCAATCTCGTGCCATCCCGTGCCTTAGCACCGGGTGTACCATGGGGAGTCATGACTACACTAAGTGACTAAGATAATCATCCTGTCGATACCTCTTCCTGCACCCAGCCACCTGCGCGGAGTCCGACTGCACCACAGCCTCACACGTTTTGACGCACCTGCCGGGGCTGCCAAGCTTGCAGAAAATTCCGAAGCGAGGCCCAAACGCGCCAGACTGCGGGACTTTCTGCAAGTATGTGGTATCAACCACGGGCATGGAGCAAGCGACTCAGCGCTACACTGGAGCTTCCCAAGAGTTATGTCACAGGAATGCAAGTTGAGTATCCCCCATGCTTCCACCATCAGGCCTCTCTAAGCATTCCCGCACTCTCTTCCCATCTCGTCTGGCATCGCCTCGGAGGTTGCTGCTGCTTAGGTCGAGATTGCACCGGACTACAAGCGAAGCCTTCCAGAGTTCGGGCTGCTTGTCAACCGCCATCGTGCCAACCAACATGTCGGCATCGGCCGCCGTGCTGACCGTCCCGTCGACAAACACACTGGCCCTCGTGATCTCATAATCTAAACCGAAAGTTCATGAAGTCCAGACGACCCACTTTTGCATGTTACTTGTCTCAGTAGTTGTCTTAAGGTCCGAGTGGCACCAGAAGAGCTGAGAGCAAGCGGACACTGCCCGGCACTGCATTGGCCTAAGGCTGTGAGCATGAGGCTGCTTGGGTCAGCCAGCACTCTCGGGCTCTCGGGGCTGCAGCCATCTAGCAAACGATCCAGCTTGTCCTTGTTTAAGGAGGCTCAGAGGCTCAAACGAAGATTCCTTGGCCCAAGGCTTTTTCAGCAGCTTCGCCGCGTGCCTCCCAGCTGCTTTTCGCGGAGGCATGGAATGACTTTGGTTCTACCGGCTTAGCGGTTCAAACCGTTCGGCAAAATCTTCGGAAGGTCCAATGATTTAGGAGATTCCCGAACTTGTTGAAGAATCCGTCCCGAAGGTGTTCTCCTAGGAGTCTTGCCATGGTGTCGAGAATTCAGGCTTCAACTAAGGCTTCGACCTGCGATTCGGCACCACACTCTCTCGGAACGACATCTGACAAAGCAGCACCCGTATGCTTAATCGAAGACTGAAATTCAGAATATTGCATGCTACTTAAATACTTGTAGTTGTGGAGAGCGGGAAGGCATTGCACTGCTAGTGAAGCTTCTTTGCGGCTCGAGCAAATCCTTGGAGCCTTCAACCAAAAATCGCATCTACGTTCCAAGGGCTGCCTGGTAATCTTCTGTGAGACGTTATCAAAGTTCTCCGGGTCCAGGGCCGCGATTTTGCACAGGGTACCAACCTCAAATCTGCGGTCTTGGGTTGAACGCTGCAGGAACTCAAGGTCGAAGGTCGGGGGTTTAGCACAGCAGCGGGATCCAGGCTGCTTGGCTGCATTGCGGAAGTCTACGTGCGTTCAAGGTATATAGAGGTTCGGGCATTTTCTTTGATATGATTGAAGCAATCGCAGGATTTAAGTAAGGAGGTCTATCTGGGACGGTCTGGGGTTCAAGCGGTGTCTGGTGAAGAGAGGACCATGGATTCTCGAGCTCGGATTGGTTTCCCTCGTTTTAATAGTCTTAGCACATGTCTTGTTAACTCCCACACAGCCTGTCGAGTGTACCGGTCGGTGGTACCTTGGCAGTTCGGTGCAGCTCGCTCTGTCTCAGCTTCTGTATGGTCCACTGCCCAGAACAGAACAACTTGTTTTGTTCTGAGACCTCAGCTCCAGAGTCTCACTTGCTTTTGAGCTTGAGGCGAGCATTAGAAGATGCAGAGTTCAGGGTAGCAGCTTCACAGGGTGCAAACATTTCGGGATTGTTGGCCATGCAGATTGGCGACGTCTGTGTTGCCACCTTGAGGCTGCGACTATGTTATGGATGCCCTTGTATTGCTTGGAACTGTCCGAAATCTCCTCCTCAAAGAGGACGAGGGCCTGCCACAGGAGCATGCAGTTTTTCGCTGCTGTTGCCTTCCTCGGCACACAAAGGTAGGGCAATTTCGTCGAGCCACCTCGTCAAACAGCCTACTATTTAGAACAGCTTACCCTCTTTCTCAAACCTTCAAGGCCAGCTCGCAAAGAGAAGCCCAGTGCTCCGAGTTTTTGCTCTGGCGCACCTATGCACGCGCAAGGGCTTCGGGGACATTTTGGAGGCTAACCCGACACGGTTAGCTATGACGGGTTCTTGTACAACTTACTGCAGCTGGCAACTAGTGACTCACTCTAAGCACTTCAAAAGCCTGATGGGCCCGAGAACTGCACTTACAGAACGTACAGCCAAACCAGCCTGCGTGAGGAACTCATACGCGATGGGCTCATAGCCTCCCTGCGCACCGGTGGCTCTCTCAACTTGGTCTGCCGAGACCTGCCAGATCAAGGGTGAACGATATTGCCGGGAAGGGCAGTGGCAAGGAACAGAAGCAGGCACAAAGGTGACGGGTGCGGCTTTGGAGAGTCTGACATGGCCGCCAGGGCGGGTATGCGTGGCGATAACATATTGATTCGGTCCTGGTTGTCGGTAGGTGTTGGCAGCTATATTAGCATTTCTTAGCAGCGAAGTTCAATGCTTTCCAACAAGCTGCGACGACAGTGATTGGGATTGGCATACTCCACGAAATTTCAACAGGCCCTTCTGAAGTGTGACCGGCAGAGAGGACATGTTAAACGATGAACAGATCCAGAATGAAGTACAGCATGTGTGGCAGGGCACGAACATGACCTAACGGTGAAGGAAACGTCGTTTGCTGTTTCCGAGTGTTCCTGGTCCCCTATGTCGGCACAACCACGTGAAGCGCATGCTCTTGCAAAAGCATATCAAAAAAAACACCCATCAAGCAGTCACAAACAGCCGAGCCGCCACAATCTGAGATCCCCCAATCCACTCGAGCAAACCATCCTACCATCCGAGGAAACTACTTGGCCATGACTAAATTAAGACTTCCTGGCCCAGTCCGCCCAGGGCCCCTGCGGCAGCAGCAAGCCAAAGATGGAGCGCCATGTCTGGTGAGGACTGCATGAGCCTTGGTTCAAAGTGAAGATCACACGTCCTCTTCACAAGAACCCAAAGTATGCAATCCAGACATCTCAATCAATTCCCTTCAATCAGAGGCCGTTCATTTTCCAAGAGCCCAAAGTACCTGGGTATCTGGCGCTGTGTTCGTCTTGTGCACGAACTGGAAGACCTGCTTCGGCAGGGGTTTTGATGCTTGAGGGTTAAAGATATCAACATTTCCGAGTTGCGCGGTGGTCGGCATCGTGTCGTGTGGTTTGGGATATATATCTTCTGGTGTGTGATCGGCAATTTGAATTCGACTCAAGGGATGTGTGATGGATCAGCACTCTGAATCATGCGATGCTTGACTGACAAGGCCTCGGACTTTCTGTGCCTGGAGCTGGCATCGTCCAGAGATCCAGGGCTAGACTCGACATCCCCCGCGCAATGTCATGCATATACATTGGTTCGGAATCTAAGCAAAATCTCCCGACAGATTCGGCACCGACATCCCCAAAAGATCCTCCAGCCTTACAAACACGAGTTGGGGTCCCAGCATGGGGTTCAACAGTTTTGTTTTGACGCCAGGAGGCTCTCCAGTTCCAGCATCTGGGCCGTGCCTTCTTCATGCTGACTGCAGGTGGCGGGACCGCCTCATCTCCCTCCTGTTGCGTGCGGCGACGGATGTATGCAAGAATACCAAGCAAGCAATTACGTCGGCTCATCGACAGCAGCGAGCATCGTGTGCTCAGGGCCTCAAATTTCCCAAATCCAAGCATCCGAAGCCTATCCCACTTGGTGTCGCAAGCTGGAGCTGGGGGCGTGGGAGTTTGGGCTCACTCTGAGAAGGTAATTGGGTTCATTGGGCTGATGGGAAGTTGGAGGCAATGATTCTACTCTCGCCGGGGAGGGGAGGGGGAGGGGATCACGATAGTTCTCCATCTTCTACTTTCACTTTCCATCATTCTTTCCATCTCAAAGACAACTACCTCCCAAAAACCTGTTGGAGGGTGTTTCGTTTTTCGCCAGTGATGTAAACAGCTAGCACATCCACACTTAGACGGAGACATGCAGCCCAAACTCACAAGAGCCCAAAGCCAGAAATCCACTCACACGCGCCCGGAGACCGAGCTCTCAAGCTCGGAAGGGCCATGGGGCTTCAGGACACGCACACACCCCACAGCTCCGTAAAAAAAAAGCACGTCCAGCTGCCCCTGCTGTGCCTCGGCCCGGCGCTTCTCCCGTGCAAGGATCTTTGGCACGAGCCCGAGGGCAGCGAAGAAGATGGGCTGCAAAGTGAAGACGAGCCTTTCAGCTGATCGCTAAATGGCTCCTGGAACTGTCGGCTTGAATCTTCGGCCTTTGCTTGCTGTAGGGACGTCGGCGCACAAGCAGGCTGCAGGAATCAGGCTGGAACTTTCGTGCAATGCACGTGCTTTGCTCTACCCTATTTCCTAGGGCCCTCTATATGGGGAAGGTTTTTCTGGAGCAAAAGATTGGGCAGGTGATCTTACACCCCCCCCCCTCCTTCGCCCGATAATTGCTGACATCGAGCCTTTTACACTCTATGTCTAAAAGAACCCTAGAGCCTCACAGTGCACACCCGGCCTGTTCGGTCCACCCTGTCCGAAGAAACCTGCGGCCAAGCGCGACGATTCAAAGACCATGTCTACGCAGAATAAGCCACTCTGAAACCGACCGCTGCTCACTTGGCTCTCCTGGAGCCTGGAGCTGTGTATATGTAGATAACTCTAGTCGAGACCCTTCAACTATCCTTAACTAGCCAAACCAACCTAATTCCTAAATGAGATTTTGCGCCTAGGGCCTCGGAGAGCAAGGTTGTCCGGAGAACCCGCGAAATACTCTTGGACGAGCTACCTAACCCTTAACCGTCCGTCCTGTATGATTGGTGTCAGTGGTGACGGCACATGTGATCATGGCCGGGTGCGTGAGACACTTCACACACTCCCAAACAAAGCAAGAAGCATGAAAACATCACGGGCCTACGCGACTCGCAGGAATTAGCACAAATGCTTCCGAGCACTCTGGGACGGACCGCCCCCCCCAAAACTGCGAAAACAAACGAGCGTACGGATTGTGCACCGGGCCTCGCATCGTCGTCAGGATCTGAAACTCAACATCGCTATCTTCGTGCCGGACCTAGTGATGTTGAGAACGTCGAATGCTTCAGGACGTCATGACTTCGTGACTCATGGGTTTGGTTCTTCTTGTCTTTACCTCCCTTTGTGTCCCTCAGCATTCACGCCGCGGCCGCTGCGTTAACTAAATTCGAGACAAGTCCATCTTGCTTCTAAGAGCTGCGCCTGATGCACGAGCTTGCAGACCTGTTTCACAGAGGCAGGGTCAATCGCACTTCGAGGTGAAGCCGGTGGTTGAGATGAGCTTGCGGATTTGGGGATTTCGTGCCCGATCTCCACATATAGTTGAGTGCTCGCAAATTTGAACCGCATGGATTGTGGGGACTCTGGCTGTTGTTCCTTCCACATGCGGCTCGTCAATCATCCGCTTTGCATTGGTCGTGCAATTCAAGGAAACCTCGACAGTGAGACGAGCTCTGTGCTGCGGAAGAACTCCTCGGTCAATTGAGCCATCCCTATCCGCACCTTCAAATTGCCAAATACTCCGAAGCATTTATTGAGGGCACAACCGCGCAGGTTCAGCTGCCCAAACCCCTAATCTTGAGTTGGACAGGTTACTCCCGAGCTTGGCTATATTGCCGGCCTAGGTCCTGGAGGTTTGTGCACATATTTGTACACTCGCACATTCGCAACAGGCACACACTGCTCGAGCTGTTCAAAGTACTGTGCTTAAAACAGCGGAGTCCGGTCGCTGTGACATCATTCGTTGTCGTCCAGCTGTTGCTGCTACCCTGCTCTTTCGCATAGAGAAGATGGCCAAACGCTGACATGGCCACACCCGATTCTTGGTTTGTTTTGCTACTCACTGAACAGGGTGGATTCTGAGAACCTGTGGAGCAGGAAGCTGTTGGCTTGCGACGCACTTGCAATGGTATTGCGGCCTCAAAAGAAAAAGTAGCATCTCGGAAAGTCTAGGACCATAGGGCATCTACCATCGAGAAGCCAACTTGTCGCAGACACTTTTGTTAGGGGCACCCCAAAAGGACACAGGATCGGTTCGCGGGCATGAGGCTGCCCTGGCCCAAGCGCTGCTATCGCAGCCTCTACCAATGATTTGCATTTGCGCTTATGCATTTTCCAACAATCTTGGACCATCTGGGTCTTTGAGATACTTGAATCAACGAAGGATCCCCGGATTTTCCTGTCCCGCCGATCGTAGCCGCACGCCTGTATCTTGCAGGCACACCAGCGGTGGTTAAGCATCCAAGCACCCCGTCGTTAGCTGAATAAAACGTGTAAGGGTGCAAAGACTAAGCTCGAGAGTTCCGGGCTTGGGGGTGTGAAGCTCTGCGTGCCTTGTGCTGCTCCTCTGCAAAGCGGGCTTTGTCTTTGGCCTCATCCATCGGCGTGTCCTCCTGTGCTCACCGAAAATAGCCCTGTCTGGTTTGGGTCGGTTTGGGCCAGACTCTCGGTTTACATTAATTCCTATTTCTTTTCGCGAACTTGCTACTACTTACTACTACTGGCTACTTGCAACTTCCTACTTCGAGTTTCAAAAGAATATCAGATGCTGCTTCCTGCTCTGCAGACTGCTACCAGCTACCAGTACCAGTTGTTGCCAAGTACCAGAAATTAAGTCTACAGTAAATATCACATTACCGCTTATGCTCACTTCTAGGCTTCGCACTTCCTCTTCCCCTCCTCCTAGCACTGCTTCTGCAGCTGCTACAACCTGTAAAAAATGTGGACACGACGAAGGAAACAACGGACCTACTGGTCCTCATGCATCTACATAAGCATCACAAGAATAGTATCATCATCTTTGCAACAGCCTGAAAGAAGGTCCACGGTTGAAGAGAACGGACTCGGGGCTGAAAAGCATTTATTGCAGCAGCCATTCCAGTTGCTTTGTCGAGCAACCTGCTTCAACAAACTCACGTATGGCTGATGCACAGCCAACTTCACAAGTTAAGGCAGTTACGGCAATCCGGAACCTGAAGGAACCAAAGAGCTGGCAACGAATGCCAGCTTGCATGGCACCTCGTCCTTGAGCAGCGGGGCGATGAAACCGAAAAGTGCCGTAACATCGTCCACACTGGCAAGGGCACGGTCGTCCTGGCGGCTAAGAATCTTGCAACTCGAGCTGCATTTGGGTATTTGGAGCCGATTCATCAAGTTGGCTGCACGAAACTGTAAAGGTGGCACATGGGGAACATGATGCACATGTGCAGCTAATTTTCATCCCGCCGCACCAAAAGGCATTTCTGAGCACCACGCAGGCTACCAGAAAGCCAGAGCAGTGCAGGCGATTTCACTTTGAAGCATCACCCCTCTTGCACAGTTTCTGAGCCTGCGAGTCGCCATAGACTACGTGCAAATACCAAAAGATGTGCCTAGGTCTCCGGCCTAAGCTAAAAATTTTCGACAACCCCACTACCCCATCCCGAAAAGACCGAACTTATTTCACACGAGGCATTTCCGGAAGTTGACCTCAAGCTCCTCCCGGTTGATGTTCTTCCCGATGAAAGTCAGCTTGCAGACTCTTTCCTCATCAGGCCCCCACGGGCGCTGTGGGGAGCCAGTAAACGCCATGTGGACTGCCTGGAACACGAATTTCTCCTTCATGCCCTTCACGGCTAGCACACCCTTGGTGCGAAAGAGGTCCGCCCCTTTCTCCCTGAGTACCGTGCCAAGCCAACCGTTCAGCTTCTGCTGATCCACCTCGCCCTTCACATGAAAACCTGCAGACGTCACACGGTCATC